TATATATTTTTTAATGTTTTATTTATTTTGAGAGACAGAGAATGAGCAAGGAAGGGGCAGAGAGGGAGGGAGAGAGAATCCCAAGCAGGCTCCGCACTGTCAGTGCAGAGCTTGGTGCGGGGCTCGAACTCATGAACCACGAACTCATGACCTGAGCTGAAATCAAGAGTCGGACGCTTAAACCGCCCAGGCGCCCCTGGTGCCATCAACCTTTAAAAAACCATCAAGATGTAATTTGTATAATAAACGCCACCGTCTTCAAGTATACGGTTCAGTTTTCTAAAACATAGGCACAGTGTGACGAAACCATCCCCACCATCCCATTTCACAATATCCTTATTACCCCAACAGGGAACTCCAAACCCATCGGTCATTCCCTCTTCCTGTCTCTTTCGATTTGCCTATTCTGGACACTTCGTATAAACGGAATCATACACTATGTGATTTTAATGTTTGCCCATCCAGGAGCAAATGAGAGGGGACCTTATTTGTCAGCTTGTTCCAATGCTTAAGTCGCTGTTTCCTTCATACTGTTAACAATTCAAACAGGACTAGAAGTATGTGGGAACAGGATGGCTCCGTATGGAATTGCCAAAGGATCCAGGAATCCCACTTCTGGGTATCTACCGGGCAAGAGCTGAAAGCAGGGACTCGAGGAAATCTTGGTCCGCCCGTGTTCATGGCAGCATCGTTCACAGGCACCAAAAGATGGGAGCAAAGCAAGGGACCGCGGATGGATGAATGGATGACCAACACTCGGTCTAGAGCACAACAGAATACTACTCAGGAAGGAAGGGCATTCGGACACCTGCTACAGCATGGATGGACCTTGAGGACATTATGGTCAGTGAAATAAGCCAGTGCACAAACAAATACTGTACGATTCCACTTAGGTGAGGTCCCCGGCGTAGTCAAATGACAGACACAGAGAGTAGAAGGGTGGCTAGCGGGGGCTGGGGGAACGTGGGGTTAGTGTTTAATGGGGGACAGAGTTTCTGTTCGGGAAGACGAAGAGAATTCTGGAGATGGACGGTGGTGATGTTCGTCCAACGCCGTGAATGTACTTAATGCCCCTGAACTGAACACTTAAAAATGGTTAAGATGGTAAATTTTATGTTATGTGTGTTTTGCCACAATTTTTAAAAAGTTAAGTCCCTTAATTAAAAAAAAACTGGATTTTTAAAGCAAAAGGTGGAATTCTAGAAAACATTTTTCCTCCCATTTAATCTATTTTTAAGACCTCCTGGTAAGGGCTGCATAGGATTCCACTGTGCGGCTGTCCCTGGTCCCCAAGGAGAGTGTTTCCAGCCCGTGCTGTGAGGGGAGCGGTCCCGACCATCTTTGTTTGAAGCCTCTAGCTGCGGAGCCCAGATCACAGGAGGTCCTGTTGGATCGGGCCCACCCTTGGACCCGCAGTGGGCGCTCATTGAACATCGGCCTCCCCTTGGCCCGAGCCTGAAAATCCCATGGGGGCAACCGTGGGTTTGGAGAGGAAAGGTCTAGAAACTCCCTCATCAGCTCAAACAGTGACTCTCCCTGGCTCCTGCTTGCACTGGACAAGATCGGTGATGACCTGGGCTGGCTCTGTGGGGAGGGGAGTCCGCAGGGTCCCCAAGGCCAGGATGGTGCCACCTCCCAGTATGCCTCTGGTCTGTCACTGGGCCCTCTGCGGTCTGGTTCCAGCGTCCACCCCCTCGGTGGGGGGGGGGGGGGGGGGGGGGGGAGGGGGAAACGCCCTGGCCTGGGACTTTGTGTCCAGGATATTCCTTGCCCCTTTCACTTCCTCCCCGACCCCACTCTCGTTTCCTGTTCCCCTTTCCGGAACCACAGCCGTCCTGCTGGCCCCGCAGTCGCCATCCAAGGGTCAGCGGCACCCACGGGGAGGCGCCTCACGGTAAAGGTCACCTTTGCAGACCACCCCTACCTCAGGGCACGCCTCCAGGAAGGCCCCTCAGCCTGGCGCTCTCCCCATCCTTGCAGAGCTCCTCAACAGTTCCAGATTGTTCCTCCTTACAGGGCTCCAAGACCTCGCTCTCTCCAACCTGCTCTTGTCTCCGGTCCCCCACCTGATTTAGATGTTTCTTCCAGGACAATGGTGACCACCCCCCAGTCATCTTCTGGGGCCAAGTTCTGTCCCGAATTGGCTGCCGAGTGGCCCTTCTTACGCTCCCTTCGGACCGTGTCACTGCCCTGCTTAAGTCCCCGGGCAGCGCCCCCGCCTGCCAGTAGGACACTCTACGTCTTAGGGCACAGCCTTTCTGGTTTTGTTGGCCGCTTAGTCTCCTCTACTATCCTTTCAAAGCCCAGCGTGGCATAACCTCCTCCAGGAAGCCCTCCCAGACCGCACGGAACACATCTAACCCCTCTGACGTGACACCCCCCTCCTCTCCAAGCCTGTGTGTCCCCCGCTGCGTCCTCAGGTCCAAGGGGTGTAAGGGAGGGAAGAACGTGACTCACGGACTCCAGCTCCTGGTTCCGGGCGCGGAAGCGCTCCCTCTGGCTGGAGATGATGGAAAGCAGCGAGTCTACCTGGCCCTCGGGGAGGGTGCCGCTGGCTGGTGCCGAGGGGCCTAGGATGTAGGGGGAGAGTGTCCTGGGGTGGTGGGAGGCAGAACCCACCAGTGGGCCCTCAGCTGGAGCAGCCCCAGCTCTGACGGAGCTCTGGCCAAGAGCCATGAGGGCAGAGGCATAGGTGTCTGAGCACAAGGTGCTGGGCGGTTGGGGAAACAGAAGGGTGGCCAACAGAAGAGGTGCGACAGGGAACAGGGATCCTGGGAGGGGAGGGCCACGCTGTCTGAGGGTCAGGCCCCAAAGCCCCCTCCTCATTCCTCTGTACTTGAGTCTGAGACCCCTGCATCTGTCAGACTCGGGCCCCGGCTCCTGGGGAAGCAAAGGGACGCTGAAGGTGCCGGGAAGCCACGAGAGCCCCCGCTCCAGCGTCCTGGCCCCGGAGCCCTGGGTTCCGCCTCACTACCGAGACCGGAGGAGGCCACCTCCCCGGCAGCGCAGGGGGCTCCCTGACAGCATCTCAGCGCTGAGGCCTCCCGTGGGGAGCTGTCGACAGGCCACTGGCAGGGCAGAGGGGGTCAGGGTCCTAGGAGGGGATGTCAAGCTAAGGCACAGAAGGGCAAGTAGGGGGGACTCAGCCCCCTCGTTTAGGTTGCTGCTGCATTGCTGGGCTGGGGGACCCTGACCTCTGAGGAAGGGGAGTGCCCTTTAGGGATCAGTGCTCAGACTGTAGCACCTCTCCTCTCCCTGCTCATGCCCCGCGCATCGCTGCCTGGGAGACAGGTCAGCCCGTGCTTACCGTAGAACAGGGCAGTGGCCTCCTTGATGGGCTCTGGGATCTTCTCCAGGCCGTGCTCAGCGGCGCCCTGCAGGGGAGAGAAAGAGGCTCCTCCATACGTGCTACTGAACAGATGGGGGGCAAGGCCCAGGCGGGGCGGCCTGGCGTCAGGGCTGGGCACGCTGGTGGCCACGAGAGGCCTGGAGAGGGTGCCTTACATGGGCCGCCAAAGGGAAGGCTGGGCCTTAAATTGACCCCGAGGCGGGAGCTCAGCGGCGGTGCTGTCACAGGGCCACTCGGCCCTGCCCGCCAGCCTGCTGGGTGACCTGGGCCGGCCCAGCTGCTCTCGCCGAGCCCCATTTCTTCATCTATAAAATGAGGTGGGGGACAGAGCAGAGTGACTTCCAAGGGCCCTGTGTCCCAGCCTTCCATGCTCTTGCGGCCTCAGTCCTCTAGCTGTGGGATGGCTGGGTGAGCCCACAGCTCCCAGGGCCCAGTTCCAAGCCGGCGCCTGGACACAGGGTGCCTCGTGCCAGCTCCAGGAAGCCTGCCCCCCGTGCCCTGTGGTCCGGCGTCCTGGAACCGGGCCTTTGCGGTGACGTGTGCAGGCGATGCTCAGAGGCTGTGGGTGACAGCCCCCGCGGGCCTTGTGGGGGCCGGTGGACACCAGCTGCCTGAGGACCGGGCTGGTCAACCTGCAGAGTTGCAATTTCTGAGACTCAAAGCCTGGGGCAGGCGGTGAAGGGGCAGGGTAGAGGGGGTGGGCTCACCTCAGCGTCTGGCCGCTGAATGGACTGGATGGTACTGAGGTCCTGCTCCAAGCGGGCGATCAGGTCCCTCTGCTCAGCGGCCGTGGCCATGGCCTCGGTGACGTGGGCTTGCAGATCCGCGCAGCGCCCTGTGCCAGAGGAAGACGTGGTCGTCAGAGGGAGCCTGGTGTGGCCCGTGCCGCCTCTCCAACCCACAGCCTGTGCCGCTGCCTAAGGCACCACCATTAGGCCAACCAGCGAGGCCAGGGGTGCTCCTGGCTCTAAGAACTCATTACGCGGGGACGGGAAGGAGCCCAGGTCGGGGATGCGGGAGGAACGGGTCCACTCTGGCTCTGCCGTGACCAGCCTGGCCAGCCCCTGGCCCGCTCCAGGCCTCGCTTTGCCTCTGTCAAGCAAGACAAGGAGGTGGAACGCGGCAAACCCCACGTTCCTTCCAGGGCCGGTGCCCTGGGATAACGACCAGAGCGAGGCCTCGGGGTAGGAGTCAGAGAGAAAGGTATCAGCAGGCGGTAGGAGGCACAGGGGTGGGCAGGCCCCCAGCAGATCCAGCAGGAGGTGGGGGAGTGAGGGGTCCCACCTCTGGAGCTCAAGGCCAGACTTGCTTGGCCTCTTTCTCAACAGGCTCTGGCCCAGTGAGGGGGGTGGGGTGGCCCCCCAAGAAACGTCTGATCCACCCACATGCCACCCAAGTGTCTTCGCAACGGCGCCAATTCAAAATAATTTTGTGTGGAGGGTGGGAGATATTGGGGAGATCTAATCCAGGCCCCGGTGGGTGCCATCAGCAGCCAGTGGCAGGGGGGACGGCGGGGGCCTGGGGGCCAGCCGACCTGAGCTTGAGGTCTGGCTCTACTCCTGGTTGGCTGCGACTCTGGGCAGCAGCATGGCCCTGTCTGGGCCTCAACAGAGAAGGTGCTGGAGGCCTGAGGCCCTGGGCGCTGTCCTCTGGGATAGACCGCATGGCCACCAGGGGGCACTGTGACACCAGAAATGCCCAAAGGCTCGAGGCTATGGGCAGTGTCAGGAGAACGGCCCGTCCTCTCCCCATCACAGTGATTCACCCGTCAATCACTGTGCCGCCTGCTGACCTGCTGGCCAACCTGGCCTTGGCCATGCTCAGCGTCCCGGGCTGGGGAGGGGGGGGCAGCTGACCCCACCCCTACCCGCTCCATCTCCCGGGGGCCCACTGCACGCCGGAGTTCTTTACACATCTCCTAACAATTCGATCAGGCAGAAAAGGCGATCCCCATTTTATAGATGAAAAACTGAGCCCTCTTGGTCCAGGCCCAAACCTAAGGGGGTCCACTCCTGGCCATGTCGCAGCCCTTCGCCACTGCAGGGTCTGCACCGGTTCAGGCCCTGAATGGCCTTCTTCCTTCAGACGTCGGTACCCGGCAGGTAGGTGGTGGTGGTGAAAGTGAGGGTT